CATTGCTCCTTGCCTTGTCAGATATTTTCAGGACCAGATCCAAAAACTAATTTTAATCAGTTGTTACTTTCCTTCCCTTCACATGTACATGAACGCCTGTCAACCATCGAGGACCCTGTTCAGATGCTGCCTAGTGGACCCCTAAACCAGCCTACCCCCCCCACGTACCCTGTCCAGCAGGAAGTAGCAAGATGACAACGGCGCCCCCTATCCTATAACACAAAAGGCTGGAATATTAGGGTTTCAAACAGCAGCAGCCCCCCTCCCCTCGCTCCCCAACAGGGACCCATGGACTTTGGATTTTTGAAACTTGAAAAAGGGAACTGAGCTGATAAACACCTTGGCCTTTGAAGTCAAGGGAAGCAGACTCTTCTAAGAAGCAGCCTGCCTTTCCTCTGATCTCCAAAGACAAGATAAGCAGATTCTACCTGTTAACCAGAGATTTTAGGAGCTGTTTAGCACAGCAGATTTTCCCTTATCTTAAGAGGACAAAAAAGTAAACACTTCCTGACCCAGATCCTGGCTGGCAGACGGAACAGAGCCAGGTTTACAAGCCCTGCTTTTCCTGCTTCCTCCCGCCTGATTTTTCCCAAAAAACTCCCCCATCCCTTCTGTACCCTGAAGCCCCCGTATATAAGCCCCAGCTCACAACCCGTGGGCTGACGTTTTCCCTTCCCTGAGGGGAATGTGTCCCGTGTGAAATAAAGCTCTATGCCGCTGAGAGTTTTAACTGTGCCTTGCGCCTCCTCCTCCATTCGCTCATTCTCCACCAAATTTTTACCTATCACATGTTAAGACAGCGTTAGCTATTAGAAAACATTTAACAGAAATGGCCTCCTCATCAGGGACCTCAATTCTTCCTCCTTGTTGAAACTAGGGGTGGCCATATGATTAAGTGTTATCCAGCTGAACAGACCCAGTAGAGCAACTACCTTAAAGATGTGGAACATAGCAAATAACTCCTTCAGGCCTATTTCAATGACAGAATTGCCATGGATTGTGGAGTGAAAAATGATGGAGTAATGGTGAAGTGGTGTTGTGGGAGAGGAGCCATTTCTGTGCAAAGCCTCTCAAGAGGCAGCAACCTCAGGGATAGGTACTGATCCTGTATAGAACAGCAGCCTAGTACCACCTTAGCCTGCTTCTGGCAAGGCAGAGCCTGAGGCTGAGATGCAGCTGACACCATACAGCAACTTCTGTCTTTGCAGTATCATCTCAAATATCTCTCTCTCTCTCTCTCTCTCTCTCTCTCTCTCTCTCTCTCACACACACACACACACACACACACTTTCTTTCTAAGGTTTATTTATTTTTACTTTATGTGTATGAGTGTTTTGTCTGCATATGTGTATGTACACCACGTGCATATCTGATGCCAAAGGTGGCCAGAAGTGGGCATTGGATTTTCTGCAACTGGAGTTACAGAGGGTTGTGAGCCACCATGTAGGTGGTGGGAACTGAATTTAGGCCCTCTACAAGAGCAACAAGTGGTCTTAACCACTGAGCCATCTCTCCAGACCCTGTTTTTGGACTGTCTTAGATTCAGTTAAAAACTCTAAGATCAATGATCAAGTTGGTTTCATTCCATAGATTGAAAGATGGTTTGACATATACAAATAAATAAATATAATACATCACACAAATAGACTCAGTGACAGGAATAAACAGTCATCCTAATAGATGCAGAAAATGATAGAAGTCCTAAAGAGACTAGGAATGGAGAGACTAGTTGCAACACAATAAAGGTGCTATGAGGCAAACACAGAGCCAACAATTATACTAAATGGAGAAAAACTGAAAGCATTTCCATCAAAATCAGGAGCAAGATTGTGTACTTTCTCCATTCCTGTTTGAGTATTCACAGTCTTAGCTAGAACAATAAAATATGAGAAGCAAATAAAAGGAGATACAGACAGGAAAGGAAGAAGCCCAAGTTTCCTTATTTGTAAATGAGATACTTTTATTATAAAAGACACTGACAGCTCCATGAGAAAAGTCTTGGAACTAAGAACTTAGCACTCTTAGACTCTATGAGAAAAGTCACAAACGTGGCAGGATACATAATTAGCACACAAAAATCAGCAGCCTTCCTATATAGCAAGAGCAAGCATGCTGAGAAAGAAATTGGGGAGACAACCCCATTTACAACTGCCTCAAAAACACATCCGAATAAACCTGATCTAGGAAGTGAAAGACCTCAACAATGAAAACTTTAAAACACTCAAGAAAGAAATTTAAGACACTAAACAATAGGAAAAAAGCTGTTATATTCGTGGATCTAAAGAATTAGTGTTGTAAAAATGGCTATCTACCAAGAGCAATCTACAGATTTAATTCAGTTCTCATCAAAATCCCAGCTCTTTATCAAAGAAATAGAAAACACAATAAAAAAAAAAAAAAAAGAGCTCAGACAACCAGAGCAAAAAGAGTTTTTTAAAATGAAATGGAGATTTAAAGCAAATTTAAAATTTTAATCAATTTCTCATCAAAACCCCACCCTGTTATAAAAAAAAAAAAAAACCAAAAAAAAAAAAAAAAAAGAGCTCAGACAACCAGAGCAATCCTAAGCAAAAAGAGTAATGTTGAACATGTCACCAAAGCTGATTTCAGTTTCTATGACAGGGCCATAGTAACAACACCAGGATGGTACTGGCACTAAAACAGATGAATCCTCAAAGAGATCCACGGAACATAATACATGATCCAGGGGACGGAGAGATGGCTCAGCAGTTAAGAGCACTTGCTGCTCTTGTAGAGGATCTGGGTTTGATTCCCAGTACCATGTGGTGGCTGACACCCATCTGTAACTCCAGTTTCAGGAGACCTGATGCCTCTTCTGACCACCACAGGCATTGCACAACATGGGTGCACTTACATACATGTTGGCAACACACTCATACACAGAGTAAAGATAAAAAAAATTTAAAAAAGGAAGATTCAGATATAAACCCACACAACCATAGCCTACTGATTTTTGACAAAGATGCTAAAAATACACACTGGAAAAAAACCTTCTTCAACAAACAGTACTAGAAAAACTGGATAGCTACATATAGAAGAGAACTAGATCCCTGTTTCTCCCCTTGCAAAAAATCAACTCCAAATGGATCAAAGACCTTAATATGACACTTGAAATTTGAAAACAGAGGAGAACATATGAAAAACACTTCAAGATATAGGCTTAGGCAATTACTTTCTGAATGAGACCCCAAGTGCTTAGGAAAAAAGACCAACAATTGACAAATGGGACCTCATGATAGTAAAAAACTTACGTATAGCAAAGGAAACAGCTAATCTATAAAGGGGCAGTTTACAAAATGGGAGAATGCAGTCATATACTTGACAGAAGATTAGTATCTAGAATATACAAAAGGACTCAAAAACGTAGCAACAAGAAATCAAATTGCTTCATAGACAAATGGGCTAATGAACAGAGTTCTTGAAAAAATGAAATACAAATGGCCAATAAAGACGTGAAAAGGGAATATGCAACTTATAATGTATACTTGTATGAAGATTTAAAACAATGAAGATTAAATTTAAATTAGAGAGAAGTGATCTAAGGATGAGTTTTCAAAGTCTGAGCCTAAGGCTGCCTATCTAAACCCTGTGGGTCTGAACCTTTGCCAGTCTCCTGGAAGTGAGCGGCTGTTATTCAGCACTGCTGAAACAGACTTCAGTTATCATCTGGGCTTGTCTTGGATGAAGAGCGATTGCCAATGTGTCTTTGGATAAAACTAAGGTTCTCTGGTACTTTTTCGTTTCCTTTCTGTTTGTGGTACCAGAGACTGAGCCCAGGAGGTTGTGCATACTAAGCAACCGCTCTGCCACTGAACTCCCCTTCTAAGACAAAGACATTTTTTTCTTTTCTTGCTATTTCTGTGGATTTGGAGAATGGAGTAGAATGCTACAGATATGCCCACTCTTCCACCTGCTCTAAGTTCAGTATTATGTTTCAAAACATGATTTTATGCTTAGTTATTTCAGTAAAGGGTATTTTTTAAAGTCATGATTAAGCAAAAATATATAGCAAAATTTAACCATGCTTAAAGGGAAGTCAGTCTTCTGGTCTGTTGCTTGATTCATAGTCTACAAGCTGACAGGGGCTTGAACTTTAGTCCTGGGCCACTGGAGGAAACCATTACATTTATGGGAGAATTTCATTCCAGGCAGTAAGACTTCTGTCCTGGGAAAAACTGGCCTCTGGTTAAATGTTTTCTACTTGTTGCTTCTAAGCTCGCATTTCTTTCCACATGATGCCCTTTGTGGTGGATGGTGCATGTCCCTGAGGCCTCACACATGACAGGCTTTCACAATGTCACTGGCTGACAGCCAGATCCAGCAAAGTATTGATGTGGTTTTGGGGTGAAAGTCACTCCACCTTGTGCAATAATTAGAATCTCTGAAACCAGCAGCGTTCCTACATGGGTTGGGGGATGCAAAGCTACTGCAGAGCACATCAGTGAGTCTGGGGGTCTGCAGTCCGTCAGGAGGGGTGGAGGGCCGAGGCATTAGAAAGCATATGTGTTGTGTGGTCACACAGATGCAGCTTCACAGCTTCGGTGTGTGCCGTGAACAAGCCACACGCCCCTACTGGACTCTGCATTCTTCATTTTTATTTTTAAATGTTTTAAATTTATTTTTATTTTGTGAGTGTTTTGCTTGCATGTTTATAAGTGCACTCGTATGTGCAGTACTCATGGAGGCCAGAAGAGGGCACTGGATCTCCTGGAACTAGAGTAATAGATGGTTGTTAGTGGCCATTTGGGTGCTGGGAACTCAACTCAGCACCTCTGTAAGAGCAACACGCACTCTTAACTGATGAGTCATCTCTCCATCCAGGATTCTTCATTTTGAAAGTTAAGAGACAACCAAAGCTATCTCCAAGGAAAGACTGAACATGGCCATTCATTCATTCATTCATTCAACCTTTGCTACTATTTGCTTTGTTCAAGGTACCTTCTAATAAGATGCAAGAGACAGTAACATAAACCAAATGTAAGTAAGGGAATACTACAATTAAAAACAGAGTGATGTAACTGAGAGTTGCTATGGTTTCTCTTTGTTTTCTCCTTGGTGCAATCTGCCTGGTAAACTACATAGAATCTCATTTTCACAGGCCTCCTGTTTAAGCCAACAGCCCTTGGAAAGGGGCTCATGCCTAATTAACAGGAGGGCAAGATGGGGAAAGATCATACTTTTACCTTCCTTTATTAGTGGTCTTGATGTTACTAGTCATGTCCACTAGTAAGGGAAAGACTGTTAGGCTCTGTGTGGCCAGTTGAGGGTAGTGTCTAGGGGCAGCAGACACTTGCCCAGCCCTTGCCTGAGAATATTCTGTTTCTGAATATCTTATTGAAATTGCTGATAATATCCCAGAGCTCTTATGGAGGTCTTGATTTAATTCACAAGATTTGTGGCTTATGAGAACCAGGTCTGATCTTTAAAAAAAAAAAATCGTGGGTTTGCCAAGACAGCACAAGGTACTTAGTGCTATTTCTCCAAGCTAGATCCTTCTAGGAACACCTAAGTGGGTAGTTCAACAGGCTGCTCCTGCCCAGAGCTGGGTTGCCCAACAGGCAGAAAAGGCATACGCTTAAGGTGCTGGTAAAAAGTTTTCAAAGCTTTATTTTGAAATTTGGAACCAGACAATCTTTAAAGACGATGTTCAATATCTGTGTAGGTTTTGTGTTACATTGGATTTCAATTACATAGGAGTCATACGCTTTAGAACCACTAAAGACCTTGAACTGGCCAAACCCCACCGCCAACTAAGGAACTTTCCTGCATCTCAGCTGTAAGAATTCACATACAAGGACTTTCTTCAGTCTGGGGTCCAGGGCAGTGAGTGGAGGATACATTGTGTTTCTTGTGCTGGTACAGTCCCACCGGTGATTCTTTCTGAATGGCTGTGTCTGAACCACAGTCTCATGTTTAGTGACACACAACGAGGACTGCAGTGTGAGAACTGGTGTCCTTGACTTATTAGGGCAGATCGGCAGAGATGATTGAACAATTCATTTTACTTGAGGGAGTTTCTCATCACATACAGCAATATCTTGTTTTCTTTTGTGGTCCTTACCCTTGCCCCATCTGTTGCTATGGTAAATAAGGCCAAAGCCAGGGAACAGGAAGGCTTGACTGAAGCTCTACTTGGCTTTCCAGGCCCAAGCTGGGATAAACCATGTTCCCTGGGGTACAGACAGCTGCCAGGGGCAAGGTGCCCACTCACTGGCTACTGGCCCTTACCAGGCTGACCAATGAGGAAGGGAAATGGTAAGATGGGGATTGCCTATCCCCATGATTATCAGGTTCTTGAGACCAGGCCATCTCTTCCTCATTTTCATCTGTCAGTGGGTCCGACTCTACACCAGAAGGTAAGAGCAAGTCTATTAAGCTCCAGGCTAGTTGGGCGTGGATGCCCAGCCTTTGTCAGGATGGGTCCAGGTATTCCCTTCTGCAGTGGTGTAGGGATAGTTACAGGGAAACTCTGACTAAGGTAGCACTGGTGGGCACAAGCTCTTCTTTAATTCTCCAAACTCTAAGGGAGAAAGACTAATCCTGGTTCAAGTGTCTGATTGCATTGTAATTTTGCGGGGTTTATTTGGCAGCAAGATACCTACTGAGAAAAAGGTTTGAGTTAGGAGATGGGAAGGTTCATGCATAGATGGAGTTCAATTAGACAAAGGAGGGGGAAAAGCATGCATTGCTTCTCAGCTTGATGAACTGAGGGGGCGGAAGAAAGAGGTGAAGAGGAAGCATGAAGAAAGCAAAGCCCAGGTTTGGGTTCAGGCTTGAGTTTAGAATTCATTTCTACTATTCAATTCTACTCAACAAATGTATGTGGAATACAAAGACGGCTGTAATCTGGCTGTTGTCTGAAGATTCAGAGACATCTGTCAGCAATGGCAATATTTTAGAGGATGATTGGGAGAAATGAGTGACAAAGAAATAGGAGCCTAGGGGCTGGAGAGATGGCTCAGGGGTTAAGAGCGCTGACAGCTCTGCAGAGGACCCCAGGTTCGATTCCCAGCACCCACATGGTGGCTACAAACCATCCTTAACTCCAGTTCCAGGGAACTCGAAGCCCCCTTCTGACCTCTGCGGCATTGCATGACACAGGTACACTTACACACATGCAGGCAATACACTCATACACATAAAATAAAAATAAAAAAAAATAAAATATTTTTTAAAAAGAAATAGGAGCCTGGGATATAGTGGGAATCTTAGTGGGTAATCATATATTTTAAAGATTTATTTATATTTATTTTATGTGTATGTTTTGCCTGCATGTATGTATAATGTACTACATGTGGACCTGGTGCCCTCGGAAGCCAAAGGAATGTTGGAGCCCTTGGAACTGGAGTTTTGGATGGTTGTGAGCTGCCATGTGGGTGCTGGGAATCGAACCTGGATCTTTGGGAGAGCAGCAAGTGCTCTTAACCACTGAGCAATCTCTGTAGTCCAAAATAACCACATTTTGAAAGACATTTTCTAGTAGAAGCACTTGGGCCTGCTTGGTCTTTGCTTTGGTCTAGCAAGCTCTGTGTCTGAACCTTCCTGGCAGTAGAGGCAGAGGCCAGGGCGGAGGGGTAGTAAAGGTTGAGGCAGCCCCTGTGTGTTAGGGATACAATTCCCTGGTTTGGAGAACTGGTTTTTGAATCACATGAGGTACAGCCATCTTTTTCCCTATGACTCCATTAAGAATAAGGGCAGTTCTGTCAAACTGCACTGGGGAGGAAGAAGGCCAGCACAAATGCCCAAAGAAGCATGGCAGGTCCAGTTTGGTTCTCGGAGCATTAGAAATCAAGCCCTGAGGCTTAATGAGAAGTCTTTGATGCCTTCCTTCCTTATATCTCTTAAGGAATCTTAAGAGACACAGAACTTGCTTCCTGTCTTTTGTGTACATGTATGCATACATGTATGCACATAACCATGGAGGCTTGAGGTCGAGACAAAATCTCTCACTGAACCTGGAGCTTGCTGATGAGGCTGGACTGACTGGTCAGCCAGCTCCAGGGATGTGCCTGTTTCTGATCTGTGTGTGTGAGGGGGGGGGCATGAGTGCTAGGCATCTAAACTCAGCTCTTCCATGCTTACACAGAAAATACTCTATCAACTGAGCCATCTCCCAAATGCCTTTATTGTCTTAAAAAATATTTAATTTTATTTTGTGTGTGTGTGTGTGTGCATGTGCGTGTGCATGTGTGTGTACACGCGCGTGTGTGGCACAGCAGGCATGTGGAGATCAGAGGACAACTTCTGGGAATCCGTTTTTGCCTCCTACCTTGTTTGGGGCAGTCCTCTCTTGTTTCTGCCTGTCTGTGGACTCCAGGCTACCTCCATGAGTTTCTGGGTCATTCTCCAGTCTCTGCCTATCATCTAGCCTTCAGATACTGGGATTACAGTTGTGTGCCCCAGCATCTGACTTTTTATGTGGGTTATCATGCTTGCTTGGCAAATGCTTTTACCTGCTGGGCCAGGTAGTTTCGGGACAAACTTTCCATTTATTTATCAAACCAGAGGACCTTGGCCCCGGGAACTTGGCTGAAGTCAGGAACAGATATCTTTTGGAAAGCAGGAGTTTCAGTCAGGAATTCCTTCATGTGTAGAGAGGTTCATCCTAAAAACTTCATTGGTGGGTGCCCTACCTCACCACTCTCTTGAGTGTGTGTGTGTGTGTGTGTGTGTGTGTGTGTGTGTGTGTGTATGTGTGTGTGTGTGTGTGTGTGTGTGTGTGTGTGTGTGTGTGTACATATGTATGTACTGGGCATGAGACTGGTGACAGCTCTCCTAGGGCTGAAAGTTTTTAGATAATTCTGTTGGGAACTAGACAGAGCTGACTTTGTTCTTGGTTCTCTTTTATGATTAGGTTGCACCACTGTGAAATTGCCAATATTCACCCATTTTGATTTTGTGTGTGTGGTACTGAGGACTGAACCTAGGTTCTCACACATACTAGGCAAGTTCTCTACCACTGAGCTATATCCTCAACTATCACTTAGATCTTTAAGAATGGCAATTTCATATAATTCAACCCAAAGGTTGCATGATCTTAAGCTAGCCCCTTGGCCTCTTCAAGTCTCGGGTTCTGTATGGCACAGTACGAAGCAGGGCTGTGGGAGGACTAAGGGAGTAAGGTCTAAAAGTGCTTTGTGCAGATAATACTCCACAGAATGTTCCCCAGTGTCTATGTGTTCCCATGTTCCTCATCTCACACTATCCCTCTGAGCAGATCAGGATGGAGTCTGAGGAGCCCTGTGGAGTCATTGTAGAGGTGGTGGTGGGAGGCTTGCTGTTTTGTTTTGTTTTTTGTTTTTTTAGACAGGGTCTCCCTGTAGCCCTGGGTGGCCTGGAACTTGCTTTATAGACCAGTCTGGCCAGTCTGTGAGACCAGTCTCACAGACTGGTCTCACAGAGATCTACCTGCCTCTGCCTCTGGAGTTCTGGGATTAAAGGTGTGTGCCACCATGCCCGGCTGGCTTCCTGGTTTGTAAATCAGAAAAGCCGTCTCTCAGGGCTCCTTTTTTCTCTCTTTTTTTTTTCTTTCTCAATTTCCTCATCTCTAAAGTGTGGGCTATTTTCCTTCCTTGGAGTTCATGTAAAGGTGAAAAGAACTAATGTGTTAGAGCTCCTGGTATGTGGATGGCTCTGTGAGGGTCTAAGAAATGCATACTCAAGCCTTTCTGTTTGTAATAACAGGCCACAGTGAGAGGATTCTTGGGGTTCTCGTGTACTTTGATCCTTTTCCTGCTGGAGAAGTAGGGACTTCATTTGGTGACCTCTCCCCTCAGTGTAGCCAGCTCTTGCCAATTCCCAAAAGGAAAGTTTCTTTGTATTTCACAAGATTCTTCTGTTGCTGCTGAAATCCCAGCAGGTCAAAGTGGAATTTCACACACATTTTTCTATACTATGGTCCTTCAGGATCCCAAGAACATTGTAGTCAGCCCTTTATGTAATTGTTAGGGTTCAGATGCACAGCAAAGCCCCTGAGA